AATTAAAATTAGTTGACTATATTATTAATTTAAAATATCTGTTTGGTCCACCAACTTCTGAAATAAATGTGGTAAAACTCCCCACCATGAGTATATATACACTTTCAAATTCTTCTTGCATTGTTAGGGGGTTTTGTTTCATGCAATTATCTGCTCTTTTGTTGTTACATAAAGTTTTGTGACTGTTGAATCTTCCTTGTGGGTTACATCTTTTATTGTCACATAACACATTTGTCCTTGAATTTGCTTTGTCTGACCTTATCACTTCTGCTTTCTTTTTGCTTGTCTTTGCACTGCCATCCATTATTGCCTACTTTTTTATTTTTAACCTTTTCCTTTTTCCAAATATGTCATATTTAAATAATTCATAAATAGATTTTATTTTTAATCACATCTGATAGCCTCAGATTTTTAATTGGGGAATTAATTCTGTTCACGTTTTCATGTTAATAAGTATACTGAAGGTTTAGAGCCTCTGTGTTCTTTTGTTTGTTACCTGTATCTGTTAGGGGTGTGCTTGACTAACAGGATACATGACTAACAATTGTTTAAAAAATAAATCTTTCATATTTATAGAATCATATCTATAATGATAGAAGGGTAATATGCTAATTAGACCAGACATCTTCTGGACATCATTCTGGACGACCTTCCTGATGAAGCTGGGGCTGGACAGGGGAAGCCGATGCCTCTGGGCAGCTGGAGGGAAGCTAGTCCAGGTCCCAGGTGCTAAAGGGAAGGCCTACTCTTGCATGAATTTCATGCATTGGGCCTCTAGTTTTATTTAATAATTACAGAACGTGATTCTTCAAAGTTCCTTATTTTTCTCAAATGACGAGAAATCTGGAGATGAACTTCATATTAAATATTTTTTTAAAATATATATTTTATTGATTTTTTACAGAGAGGAAGAGAGAGGGACAGAGAGCTAGAAACATCAATGACAGAGAGAATCATCGATCAGCTGCCTCTTGCACACCCCCTACTGGGGATGTGCCCACAACCAAGATACATGCCCTTGACCGGAATCGAACCCGGGACCTTTCAGTCCGCAGGCTGACGCTCTATCCACTGAACCAAACCGGTTTCAGCTTCAATGGATAGACTTGGTTTATCTGCTTAACAAAATCGTCAGGGCCTGCCTCCCTCTGTCTTCTTCGGCGTGTGGCTTTCTTCCTGAGGGTTGCAAAGTCTTCAGCATCACTTTTTCATTCAGGGCGAAAGGAGGAGGTGAGATAAAAGAGTAAAATGTCAAGGTTTCCTCCTAAGGAGTCCTCACCTTCTGTTTGGAGAAAGAAATCCTTTGGTCATTTAGATAAATTGTTTGCCAAGGAGAATCATAGAATGTGATGGATTTAGACCAGTTTGACTTGCCCTTTGAGGTGGGATAGAAACGTGCCTGTCCTGGAACTGAGGGTTCTCTGTTACTCCCTGAACAAATCGGGGTTTTCTGAGAAGGCAGGGAGGGGTCCGGCATGGATGGCGGGAAGGTAGTTGTGTGCTTTAATAGCTGCACACTTTTTATTGTTTTCACTTTTCCGTTTCCTTAGTTTTGCAGGATGGGAAGCCTCTATCATTTATGTTCTCCCACGGTTAATTTGGAAGTTTTGTAAATCCGGTAGTTGTTGCCGTCCGGCTCTATTATTCATACTCAAACTGGTGTTCCTCTGTTACTATTGCTTTAACATCTAAAAATAACCATGGTCTATATTCGGGGGTTAATGCTGCCTTCTGCAGCGGGGAACACTGACATTTCAGTGGGTTAATGCAATGGAGGCTTATTTCTGAATACATCACAGTTTGATGTGGATTAGGCAGTTCTTCTCTGTGCTTTGCTCTCAAACATTGACTCACGAGTCAGGCTGTTTTTTCTTGCAATCCCCCATCCTGGACAAGAGACAGAATGTGGGCAAGGCACGCTGGCTGCCACCAGCTTCCGCTTGAAAGTGGCACAAATCACTTCCCCTGACGTGTCACAGGCTAGGATTCAGTCACATGACTCCACGGCACTGAAAGGAAGACAAGAAGGGTATCATCTGCTGGGCTCAGGAAGAGGAAACGGGGTGCTGGCATCGCAAGTCACTGTCCTAAGTTGTCACTGTGGTCACTCATGCATTTTGCTCTTCGCCCCCTATAAACACATCCACCCCACCCTTAAGGTGGACACCCTCAAGTTACATCCAGTCCTACACCCGGCCCAAAGCCTGCAAGGATTCAGAATTCGTCTCTATAAGGTCCGGATGTGGCTGAAAAGACATGTCACTTGAACCTCCCCCTCTCCCCCCATTTTCCTCCCCCAACACACACACATCTTTAAGTCAGCGTACTGTGGTGGAGTAAGGTCAGAATATCCTCTGTGGGGAAGAGCGACTGTGAGCCCCACCCAGTAACCAGCCTGGAATTCCTGAAGTCTGCTAGGCCAGGCTGTGTGAAGTGCACCTGCCCTGGAAGCGAAGGGACAGCCTTGAGAGGATGCTAACTGGGCCCTTGAGGGGGCTCCTCCTTGCTCCTTATTCCCCTTGGCCTCATCTGAAGTGAGCGCTGAGGATGCCTTCCCTGAACCAGCGTGGCCCTTGGAACCTGCCTCCTGGTCATCAAGGCTGCATACCAGGTGGATGGTCAAGTCCTGAACAATCAAAGGCTTTTAAAGTCCAGACTCAAAAACTTAGGAGGCTTCTGATCTGTTTGCTTGGATGTCCCAGCAAATACATCTACTGTTTGTTTTTAGACATATTTCACAAATGGTCTGTTGTTCTTTGCCGCTTTACCTCTATGCCTCTCCCTTTCAGCTAGAGCAGCGGTCACCAACCACTGGTGCTCTGTGAGGTCCGAAAGGTTGGTGGCTGCTGAACTAGCGTACCTGCTTTAGGCTCTTTGTAAAAATAAGCGTGAGAAGATGGCATTTTCTTTAAAAAAAAAAAAAAAAAAAATATATATATATATATATATATATATATATATATATTATTGATTTCTTACAGAGAGGAAGGGAGAGGGACAGAGAGCCAGAAACAGATGAGAGAGAAACATCAATCAGCTGCCTCCTGCACACCCCCTACTGGGGATGTGCCCGCAACACAGGTACATGCCCTTGACTGGAATTGAATCTGGAACCTTTCAGTCCACAGGCAGACACTATCCACTGAGCCAAACCTGTTTTGGCACATTGTTTTTTCTTTTTTAAAATATATTTTTAGTGTTTAAAGTGTCTCCCCTTTCCCCCCCTTTGATCCCTTCTTAATGTACTCATGTTAGCCTGGCTCCTCTGCAGAGCAGCGACAAGGATGGGATTAAACACCCAGGCCTTTTACTGGGGAAACGCCTGTGAGTGAGAAGGGGCTGGCTGGGAGCTGGAGGAGGTTGGTTGAGTGAAGGACGGAAAAGTCAGGTTGGGTGGAGGTGTTCTGGGCAGATGTGCATCCAAGGAAGGTCTGTCCAGGCCTCATGGAACTGTCCCACCCTGCGTCTGCTGTGTCCCAGGAATAAGCCTGCCATGCTCAGCCAAAGGCTGGGAGCTGCCTCTGAACATGGCGTTGGGCAGACACCGGAGCTGGAGTGCTGGCTGCATTATGCCCCCTGGTTGGGTGTCTTGGTACATTCTCATGGCTGCCACAGGTTCTGCATCCAGCTTGCTTTATTCACCTGACAGGTTTTATGGGGCTGTCATTCCAGACCTTAAAAACCCCATCTCTTGGCCTACCCGGTTTGGCTTGTGGATAGAGCATTAGTCTTCGGACTGAAGGGTCCCAGGTTCAGTTCTGATCAAGGGCATATGCCCAGATTGTGGGCTCAATCCCCAGTGGGGTCGTGCAGGAGGCAGCCAATCAACGACTCTCTCTCATCATTGATATTTCTATCTCTCTCTTCCTCTTCCTTCCTCTCTGAAATATATATATATATATATATATATATATATATATATATACACACACACACACACACACACACACACAACCCATCTCTTGCAATTTGGGTTCTAGAAGGAGGTGGTTTTCCCAATCTTACAAAGTCCCAAATTTCTGTATTCTCTCATTTCCTTTCATTTTCACTTGCAAAGCATTCAATTCTTTCTCGAACTAGTTTCTTTCTCTTAACATCTTCTAAACATAGCCACTGGCAACTAACACACACCGAGGATTTCCTATTCTCAAGTCTCTTCCCTCAGAGTGACCTGTTCAGAGGCAGGTCCACCATCCTGGACAAGAGACAGAATGTGGACAAGGCCTGCCTTTTCCATTACAGTGCCCAACAATTTCACCCAGTGTTTTACTCTTGCATAATGGATCACCAGCCATTTAGCCTGCTGACCATCACCGGACACCCACCTGCTTAGGTAGTGACCCGTAGTTTCTGTTTCTGTCCCAGTGGTACGGTTTTGGGATAGATTTCCATTTTAGTAATGGTAATCAATAGGATCTGTTGCAGTAGGAAAACTGAAAAATCTCAGCAGCTTGATGACACATCGGTTTTGTTCTTGCTCATGTTACCGGTGGATGTGGGTCAGGGAGACTCAAGGCTTAGCTGCTTCACCTTGCAACGCCACCATCTCCAATTTCTTATTTCAGCCAGTGGACAGGAGGGGTGCTGATGGGGAGGGGGGTGGGGGGCAGAAGGAGAGGGGTTTAGGGGAGAGGACACAGGAGAGGGCTCATGGCCCCTAACTGCCTTGGTCCACAGGTGGCACAGGCACTTCCTTCAGGGTGCTGCGCTGTCGTTGATGTTCTCTCTGCTGAAGATGTCAGGGTGCTCAGCCTCAGACACAGTCCCAGACTTGGACACCTGTTTCAGCAGGCTGACTTGGCTGCTGTGCTGCTCCCAGTGGGAGTGGGAGGGAGAGAGGGCCATGGACCTGCACTCAGGCCCGTGTCTCTCTGGAATCCTCTTTGATGATGATAATACTGTAGAGAGGTTGTGTACCATCGGCCAAACAAGGCCATTTCTTACTACTTAGAACTCAGACCCATTCTTTTTCCTTTCTTGTTCCTCCTCCTGTTGTGAAGCAGCGAGTGACAAGCACATCCAGTGGCTGCTGGGGGAAGATGGCGAGGTCTGGGTCTGGATCATGGGAGAAGGCCCTGGCGACAAGCCCTATGAGGAGATCTCGGAGGAGCTGATTGCAGAGAAGGCGTGGCTGCAGGCACAGCGGGAGGCCGAGGAGCTCTGGTGAGAGGTGCCAATGGGTGTCACCTGGGCCTGAACTCAGAGCCTTGGGGTGGGTCCCAGACAAGGACAAGTGGTTATGGGTCAGAGGGCGGAGGTGCCAGGCAGTTGGCTGGCTGTTAGGTGACCAAACATCAAAGTCTTGCTTCAGACAGACCGTATGGATTCAAAGCCTGGCTCCACTGATTAGAAAGTGAGCTATTTGGGGCCTCAGTTTTCACATCTGTGGTATGGGTGTAACAACACTGCTTCTATTGAATGTGGCTTTTTCTCTCACTGAGTGGTTCCTGGGACAGTAAGCAGATTGGGTTCATTTTTGTTATTTACTTGCTGGTTTATCTTTCATGAACATTTGAGTGAGATTTGGAATCAGAATTCTTTTATAAACAACTTTTAACATCTTTTCGCCAAGCGTGGATGCCAACATCCCCTCCCCTCATCCTGCCACCCATTTTTAGTAACATTGTTTTTAACCTTTTTATGCTTCAGTTTCCTCATCTTTAGTTTATTATTTTTAAAAATATGATTAAAAAAATTTTTTTAGAGAGAGAGGAAGGGAGAGGGATCGAAAGACAAAAACATTGATTGAGAGAAAAATGTCATTAATTGGCTGCCTCCTGCATCTCTTCCACTGGGAATCGAGCCCACAATCCCGGGCATGTGCCCTGACCATTGAATTGAACCTGCGGCCTCTTCATTTGTGGGTCGCTCAACTGCTGACCTATTCCCGGTCGGGCATAGTGACAGTGTTTTAACTGTAAAATTATTAACAACAACCCAACATCTGCCACCTAAGATAGCCATAGTGAGCATTTAAGCAACAGATGCTCTTGACCTACAACTTGACTGAAAACAGTGGGGTTTTGTCCTGATGTACCCATCGTGAATGGAAACTATCGTAAGTTGAAAATGTATTTGCTGCACCTTAATGTACCGAGCATCACAACTTAGCTTAGTCCACCTTAAATGTGCTCAGGACACTTACATTGGCCCACAGTTGGCAAAATCATCCAACACAATGAATACACCAGTGTGGTTGTTGACCCTTGTGATCTGAGAGCTCTGGCTCTCCAGAGAGTATCTTACAGCAAATCAGCAGTCCAGGAAAAGAGCAAACTTCAAAATTCAAGGTACAGTTTCTACTGAATGTGGATTGCTTTGGCATCATTGTAAAACCAAAAAACCATTATCAAACCACCATAAGTCAGGGACTGTTTATACATGCTGTGTAAAATGGCTTTGTACATACAGGGATAATTGATTAATATAGAGTCACAGCATTATTTAAGATTACTATATAGTGTTCTCATTACATGGGAAACCCAGCTTACTGGTCCTGCTGGTGGACATTTAGGTTGTTTGCCATTCTTTATGCTCTGAAATCCTCTGGTGGACACCTTCTCCCTTTGCCATTGTGAACTCGGGTGAGAGATGGGCTTTGGAGTCTTTTATTCCCTGGCTTCCAGAACAACTCTGCTGACTATACAGGAGAATGCCTCCTTCTCCCCACCTTTGCCAACATTGAGTTTTGTTGACCTTAGACATTGGTCATCCTGACAGGACAAGAAATAACTGTCTGTAGTTCTTATTTCTGTTGTTGAAACTAGACAACTATTGGGTCCATGCTGCCTGTCACTACTTGAGCCAATTTATCAGAGACAGGGTTGAATCATACATGAGTGTTTATTCCAGTAGTGCTGGCAGTATGGGAGAGCAGCAGGTTATCCACAAAGATCTGCTTTACCCACCCCCTCCCATAAGCCAGCTGCTTATATTGGGTAGAAGGACCAAAATCACATGGGAAAGTGGGAAAAGGGAATTATAGGCATGGGGAAGTAGGCATGAGGAATAAGAATGGGTATAAGGGCTATAGGCATTATAGATTGGCAGAGCAAAAGGTGGGCGCCTCCAGGATCAGATTGTTTCAGCAGCAACCTTGTTCATCTTCCTATGATGGAAGGCAGTTCTGGGAGGAGGAGAATGGACTGATTTCGGATGTTAACTCCCATGTCCCAGAGCATACAACTCCCAGCCAGGTTAGAATGGACTTTCTTTAATCAGAACAGAACCATCACAGCTAACAGAACATGGTTAATATTTCTTATAACTATAGCTAGTCCCACTATTCTATATCTGCCTCTAACATTGCTGTGTAGACTTTCCGTTTCCCACATGAACTTATACCTTCTGATGTTCTCTTGGAAGGAGACAGAAGGAGGCAGAGATCACCAAGAAGTTCCGGGATGCTCTGGCCAATGAGAAAGCCCGGATCATGGCAGAGAAGTGGAAAGTGGAGATGGAGGACCGCAAGGCTGCCAAGGTCCTGGAGGAGCGCATTCACGAGGAATTCAAGGTGAGCTCATGCGTGGGGCAACTGTGTGTGGCCACCTGCTTTAGCCCCCAGGCCGCTGGTCCCTGGTTTAGGTCAGTCCTTGGCCACTGGCCACATCTGCTTTATGAGAACAGAAATCTGTCCTGTCTCTGAGAAGAAAGGAACTTGACGTGCCAGTTGGGCCAACCCACTTCTCATTGTACCATGGAGGAAACTGAGGGTCAACAGGGAAGAGGCTTGACAAGGCCAACTGTAGTTAAGGACCGAGCGAGGATCAGGCCTCAGGTGTTCTGCCTCCCAAACCAAGATTCCTGAAGTGAGGCTGGGAAAGAGCAAAATTTGTGGTCGGGTCACCCTGGGACGCAGTTCTAACTCTACTGATCACTGCTGTGTGACCTGGGGAAGCTTGCTGAACCCCTCTGAGCCTTCACTCCCTTGTTTGTAATATTAAGCAATAGCATCACCCAGGTTTTGGAAGATTCAAGGAAACGAAGAAGGTATATTTCTGGGAGAGCTTGGAGCTGATAGAGGAGCTTTATAGTCCTCTGTAAGAAACTTAGGTAGCCTGAAGATTTTTTTTCTACAGGAATTATACATTTTTGGGGCAGTAAAAAACTCAGAGAATGCATATGAGCAAAAAAAGAAAAAAAAAAGAAAAAAAAAGAAATAATAATCATTCTGAATTCCAACAATTATCCTATTTTGTGAAGTGTAGGTTAATGTAATTAAAAAAACACACAAAAACCCTACTTTTCCTCATAATGATTCTATAGCGAGGAGATTGCCCCCTCCCCAGATCATTTATTTATGTGGCTGATAGTTTCCTTAGTGTTGTGTTTTTTTTTTTTTTTTCTTTTCTTAAATTTGATTGTAGTCCTCTTAGATGTACGGAAGATTGAAATTTTTACTCACTAACTATATCCATCTTTTCCTTTTTACTATTTGTTTTATGCTTTGAAAGATCGGTGCCACCACAAGCTTCTAAAATACCGATATACATTATTTTCTATCACTCTCATGAATTTGTTTCTTTGCACTTAATTTTCCTTCACTTGGAGTTGGGTTCGATATAGGGCTTTAACGTCATTTTCTCCCATGTGGTGAGCCATTGTATGACCCCCCTCCTCATGGACTTGCTGCCATGATTCTTACTTCTTATATCTCTTCACCGATTGTTCTTCTTTGATTATTCCTGAGCCAGATTTACTTAATTATTGTAGTTTAAAATAAACCTTAACATCACTATGGTGAGAAACTTTTATTATTTTTCATTTCCAAAATGACCTTGGCTAATCGTATCTATTTTTCTACTAGCAATATGTTGGAGTGATTTTGTCATTATTCTTCTCTCTCCAACAACAAAAACCACATGATGATTTTCATTGTAATTGCATCAACCTTAGAGCTGTGTTTGTGGAGGATGGACATTTTCACAATATTAAGTCATTGACACTTGTTGTTTTGGGATGTGGCATATTCTTCCTGTTTCTCAAAGCTTCTTTTGGTCTTTGATAGATTTAAAAAAATATATATTTTATTGATTTTTACACAGAGAGGAATTGAAAGGGACAGAGAGTTAGAAACGTCGATGAGAGAGATACATCTACCAGCTGCCTCCTGCACACCCCCACTGGGGATGTGCCCGAAACCAATGTACATGTCCTTGATCGGAATCTTACCTGGGACCTTTCAGTCCACAGGCCGACGCTCTATCCACTGAGCCAAACTGGTTTCGGCAGGTCTTTGATAAAATTTTTTGTTTTTTATTTGCAGGTGTTAATAACATTCACAGTATGCTTATGTACTTCATATTCACTTCTGTGCTTCTAGTTTTTGGAGTTTGGTGAAATTTATTGTATTATTTAAGTACTCCACAATTATTTTTTAATTAAACCTTAGGTTTGATATTTTTTGTTGTTGCTATCATATATGAGGTTGTTCTCATCACCTTAAAACCCATTGTAATTGCTAGTTATAGATTTATATTGTTATTGATCTGCTTAATTTTCCATTGAATTACATTTTTTAGGAGATTCTCTTGAGCTTTTAAAGTGAAGTAATATTTACTCTCAAAACATTTTATGAAAAATAGTTTCAAACTTGCAGAAGGCTAAAAGAAAAATAAAATGAATACTCATATTCTCTACTTAAATTCACCAATAACTAATTTTGCCACATTTGCATCTCTCTCTCTACACACACACACACACACACACACACACACACACAGGTGACCCTTGAGCAACATAGGTTTGAATTGCTGTTGGGTCCACTTATATGTGCATTTTTTTTTCAATAAATACTGTAAATGTATTTTCTCTTCCTTAGGATTTTTTGAAATAACATTTGCTTTTCTGTAACTGACTTTATTATAAGAATATAGTATTTAATGCATTAATATCTATGTTAATTGACTGTTTGTGTTAAGGCTTCCAGTTAGCAGTAGGCTATTAAACAGTTACATTTTTGCCAAGACAAAACCCCCACATCATTCAAGAGTATACGTACATACATATATAGGATATCCCCAAAATGTATACACACATTTTGAATAATTACAAAGGCGGGGTTTATTAAAATACATTTCATTTTCAAAACGGAGCTACAAGCTGTTCAAGTGTGTATGCATTTTTGGGAGATACCCTGCATGTGTATAAATAGATACACACACACACACACACACACACACACGCATATGTGCAGTTTTTGTTGTTTGGATGAACAATTAGAAGGAAAGTTGCAGACATCATAGTCTCACTCAGGGGTGAGCAATCTATTTTCTATGAAGAGGCAGGTGGTAAATTTTGGGTTTGTGAGCCATATTGTCTGTGTCATCACGACCAGACCAGGCCACTGAGGCACAGAAGACACCCTGTAAACAAAGGGGGTGGCTGGTCCAATAAGACTTCCTTTTAAACAGCAGATTGAATCCAGACTTAGCCTGGGAGCCTTAGTTTGCTTACTCCTAGTCAAACCCTTGGTCCTCCCACGGGCATGGCCCAGGTAAGGACCTTCCCTGCACAGCCACCCAGATCACTATCACTCCTGTTGAAATGAACAATAGTTCCATTATAGCATCTACAACCCAGTCCACAGTGGAACAGTCCATAGTTTATTTTGCATATGATTACTTAAGGCTGCTGGGGAAGAAAACCAGTACTTTCTCTGTATCTCTGACCCATTCCAATCTCTGCCCCCCTCCCAGAGGAGAGCTGAGCTTCAGAGACGGGGGCCAGGGTACAAGGAGATCCCAGAGAGACTGAGTTTCCACAGGGATGTTTGTGATGGGTGGTCTCCTTCAGAACCTCCGTGCTGAGGGGTGATACCTTGTGGGTCGCTCTGTGTTAGAGTTCACGGAGGGTTTAATGAAGTCAGGCCCCCCTCAGGTTCACGGAGGGACCCAAATGCGGGTGTTTGTTGTTGTTTCCACAGAAGGTTATGGCCATTCTGTGTTCATTTGCCCTTTATCGGTTTATGTATGTGCTTATTAAAATATTGGGTTGGCACTGGTCAACATGAACATGTAGGTTTCAGGTGTGGGTGTCTGTGTTACAGTCTTTTTTGTTTTAACAATTAATTTGCTAAGGTTGACTACTCAGACTTTGATACACACAGTAATCCTGATTGGCAGGTCTGTGTGTTGAGGGGCCTCAGAAATGTGGGCAGCATCTGCAAAGCAGGGGCTGAGGGGGGGCAAAGGTGGGGGGCTGACCGGGATGCTGCTGCCAGCCTGTCTGTGATGGTTCCCCTGTGTCGCCGTGAGCTCTTCATCACAGGAAACGGTGAAGCATCGCTGACAGCGCTGAAAAGGGTTTGCGGCAGATTAAAAGCGCTGGCGGCCAGTTCTTTGCAGTGCTCCTTTGGGGTCTCTCTCCTCTGGTGCCCAGTGGCAGCGTGGACCTACAGCCTGCACTTGGACCTGTGAACGTGACCCTGTGGCTTTTGAGGCGATAAGGGATCTGCGGTTTCTACTCCTGCCCCTTTGGCAAAGGTCACTTTGCAAGATGCCTGCGAGAAGCCCCTCAGCCTGCGAGAAGCCCCTCAGGCTGCAATCACAGGCTGTCGGTACAGAAACAGCAGCCAGGGGAGGGAGTCTTCTGGGCTCTGGACCCCTGCCGTGTGGAGCGGAGGGCCCCCAGCCAGGCTCTGCTCGAATTATTAACCACAGACTCACACACAAGGAACATGGATGTTGCTCTAAAGCACTCAGTTTTCTGGTGGTTTGTTAATCGGCACACATGCCTGAGACAGCTTTGCAAGAGGAGTTTATGCATCAGCTTAGAGATGGGCTTAGATCCTTTTGCTTGTGTCTTTCAACATCAAGACGCCGATGGCGTGAGTCTGGCGTTCGCAGCGCACCAACAGCATTCATTCACTTCCTTTTCTTTTCTGAGGATCTGAGTGCAGGTGTTTTGGGTGAAGATAGAATAATGGACTCCCGGCTCTCAAAAGGCTTACAGGGTGCCCGGGAGAGAGGGACCACTCTGTGAGCAAGCCAAGCCCCAGCCACCCCCTGGGGACCACAGTGGAGGCAAAGCAGCACCTTTGGGGCCTGGGCACAGGGCACAGCGCAGACAGGGGTGGCAGGAGATCAGTGGAGTGATGGACGCTGCGCTAGGGGAGAGAAAGGAGCCCATTGTGCTGGAGGCAGACATCACCCCAGAGTGGCTGTGGAGCCCGTGGACGCTGCATTAAGGGTGGATTGTCTGCGTGTGTGAAGCCGAGAGTGAGGATCTCAGCACAAAGAAGCACATGGTCAGATCACGTTCTGTGAGGCCCGCTGTTGGCGGAGTGATTCAAGTGATGGGAGTTTGGGGGGAAGGACAGGCCAGCAGGAGGTCAGGTGGGAAATGGTCAGTGGGAAATGGCGGGTCTGTGACTGTGGGGAGAGGTAGAGGGGGAGGGACATAGAGCCACGGAGGTGGTGTAGTCCATGGGCTCGGCATCACGTAGGTGGTGGGATGAGGGAACTCAGAGAGCACAAGTGTCTGAGCGCCAGGCTGCGGGACGGGTGCAGGCCC